AGATTCACCCAGCATCTTCTCTTCAAATGTTAATAGGTATCATAGAGATTTCACTTTTTTGCATATTATAAAACAAAAAGCATTCAACTGTACATACAATGATCAAAAACAGAAATCCATCATTCTTGTAAAATCCCAAGTTCACTCACACACTGAAAATGTATTTTTTTACCTACCTCCAAAAAATCTTCTGAAATGATTAATGACTAAGGGATTCGCGCAGATGAGGTAAAAATCAAACGACTGATGTCCTTTGATAAGGCTAAAAAATTTAAAAGTCTTGGTTCTCAGGAACCGCCCGCATCATCATAAAGCCCCGCAGTATGTTTTGTTTTTATTTCCATTTTCAAAAAAAATTTAAAATCCCGATACTTAAAAAACAATGCGATCCAATATGGCATGTAGTTACTTCCCTTTACATGTGCACTGCTTTACTGCACATCTCGTGTTATGGTCATGGCGACTATAGGATAACCTGAGAACCAATTCTTTTATTTTTTTAAGCCTTACATATATAATTATAAGTTTTGAACACTGTTCCTAAACATTTCCATTGCTCCCTTGCATATTAATAAAACCACACATGATCAATAAAATCATTGTCTATTATTCTTAATTGGGATGAACATAAATTCCACCACAGAATCATTTGGCAAATCACTTTAAAAATTCTCAAAAAAGATTGTTTGAAAGATGCATAGACTGTAAATCTTGTTAAAATATTCCGATTCAAACATCACCTTCTTTCTCAACATGGCTATTTTGCCAATCAACATCAACAAGAACTGATTCACACTGGATACCATCTTCCCAAGCCAAGAGAGTTAACTGACTTTAAAAGTCCAGTTTCCACCCTTGCCGAACTAGGTTGGAATTACTGGGCTCGATTGTAGCGCCACCAGTGGCTATTCCCATTTATGTCCCTTCTAAGCCGCTCCTATGGACCAATGAGATTCCACATCTAGTATCACTGGCGTTTGCTTCACACAAAATGGTGGCGCCCAAGTCAGGATGATCTGATCGATAATCAAGATCTATATTGTGATAAAACGGATCTTACATCGTGAAGTTCATCAAATCACGTGAGCACTTTGATTAAAAACATGAAAAGATTTGGAAAATATCTGCTGACAACGAGTTGGCGGTGCACATGCTTTGCAAATCCTGCAATCAATCGAAATCTTCTCGATTTCGATTTCGGTGCACAATTTTGATTGGACTATGCATAGACTCGTTAGTCCAGCCAAAATGTAACTCCATAATACCAGCCTAGTTCGGCAAGGGTGGAAACTGGACTTTTATAGTCAGTTAACTATCTTGCCTCGGGAAGATGACTGGAGACAAGCCAACAGAAGACTGATGTAGATGACTGTGTTAAAGCTAGTTGTAGCACAAGTACTATACGTATCACTGGCACTTTCAAGGCCATAACACTAACCGAAGCATCTGGACTAAAACACAGAGGTGAATACAGATTGGTGCTGGACCCGAAGTGGACATAGACAACCTCATTGGGATACCAAATTGATAATGTCGCTGACTATTGAGACAAGTTTATATACTACACAAAGGAAGTTAAGGAAAACCCGATGTTTTCATTCATTGTGGCATGACAGATTAAATGCAGTCACATGAACAAATCAAGTGTTCTTTAACTTCTCTTGAGTCGTATAGATCGCTGCAGTGAAAACCCCAATAATCTGGATGCTACAGTTCCCAATGAAACAGTTCAGATAAACACATATCTGGATTAACAGAGTGATCCTTTATATTTGAATATATACTCCTCAACATTTGATATGGATGGACAACAATGAACTTATTGAACTGTGTATTTACGTTTAATCAACTTGAAATGAAGCTGCTTGAGTTCCGTGGCAAATTCGAATGCTATTCTTATAACAACATATCACAGCAATCAGTCATATTCAGACCACCTGGATACTCCTTATTCCTTTCAAAAGTTGAGTAGTATATAATCCTAAAGCAACTGTTTGTGAAGTGGGTCTTCAAACTGACAAGGATTCACAGTACTTAGAGACGAATGCTAGTGAGCGGAGTCTTGCACTCCATGTAACCTTATTCCACCTATGATGATGTGAGACACACAGAATGGACTTCTCATATTGTACCGATGTGGGAATCAAACCCCGGCATCATGAGCCAGCGCCTTACCCATGAGGCTACTTTACCTCCGTTTGATCCAAACACGAACCATTCAGCAAATATCTCCAGAAAAATACAAAGACCATGTACATCTTTCTGACAAAGTCACAAAACTCTTCTTCAGCAGCTTTATGGATATCATTCATCCGTTGCTATGGTTACTCATTCACAGGGACCTACTCCGTGGTCTTGTGGTAGAGCGTCCGCCCGGAGAGCGGAAGGTCCGGGGTTCGATCCCCGGCCGCGTCATACCAACAGACGTTAAAAGATGGTACTTGTTGTTACCCTGTCTGGTGCTCGGCATTAAAGGTCTAAAACAAGGACTGGTCGGCTCGGAGTCAGTATACTGTGTCTGAGTGGGGTATTCATGTTAAACTGCGGCATGATATCTCAGTGAGCTAGCACTATAAATCAGCATCAGTCTGGACTAGTACAAGCAGCCACACACACACGTGCATGCACGTCGCTATATAAGTGCAATAATCTTGGACGCGACGTTAAACCCAATTTCACCTCACCTCACCTACTCATTCACGGATCTTTTATCCTTTCTGCCGTAGGTTTCATGAGCTTAAATGCTTCAGAAATGGTTCTAGAGACATGTCGTGGTACATAATTATTACATCTGAACATCAAATATTATGTATCAGGCAACCAGTTTATTGATTATGCGGCTCTTCGTGGCTATACATGAACAAAAATAATGTTTTTGATGCCGACTAGATGGACTAGATACAGGAGTAGAGTGATGTTACACTCATAGGAAGTCTCTTTGGTACTAACACTTCAAACTACTTACATCTAACATACAGGTTCTCCATAGGGATTTACCACGTTTACCTGGACCCTTCTATTTGTCAGTCTTTGGGTCTCAGGCACTAAAATGGGGGTGAGTCTTTGCAGGTGGGTGCCAGGCACTAAAATGGGGGTGAGTCTTTGCCTGTGGGTCCTAGGCACTAAAATGGGGGTGAGTCTTTGCCTGTACGTGCCAGGCACTAAAATGGGGATGAGTCTTTGCCTGTGGGTCCCAGGCACTAAAATGGGGGTGAGTCTTTGCCTGTGGGTCCCAGGCACTAAAATGGGGGTGAGTCTTTGCCTGTGGGTGCCAGGCCCTAAAATGGGGGTGAGTCTTTGCCTGTGGGTGCCAGACACTAAAATGGGGATTACCCCTAGGGATTATGGCATTGATGTGATAGAGGTATGGTATTTGCAGAATTAGATGTTTTTGATCACATTGATGTAAGTAATTTTGTTAAATGAAATCTACAGTAGGCATTATGAAGTGATTAGTGCGGGGTTGAACTAATCCAGGAGTATAACAGCCTCTTCTACCAACTAACTACCTCATCTGAGAGGCACTACATTTACATTGTGATGATTAACTGTGTAACTTGATTCTGAAAATAGTAACAGTCTTCACGATGAACTGGTAAAACATCTCTAAATATATTTGGCACTGGTACACTGTTCTCAAATTAAATCGTAGCTAGACTATATATCCTAACCCTTAAAACCAACCCAAGACAGAAAAGTGGGATACCCCAGGATATAAAGTGGGTACTCTAGACAGCTAAGTGGGGTACTACGTTAACAGAAAAGTTGACCCGTGAAGATCTGGGGTAGAGTAGGTCTTCAGTAACCCATGCTTGCCGTAAAAGGCGTCTATGCTTGTCGTAAGATGCAACTAACGAGATCGGGTGGTCAGGCTCACTGTCTTGGTTGATGCATGTCATCATATCACAATTGCATAGATCATTGCTGATGATGTCAATCACTGGATTGTCTGGTCCAGACTCGATTATTAATATTTACAGACTGCCGTCTAATAGCTGGAATACTGCTGAGTGCAATAAGTAATGCCTATCAAACATTTCAACGTCCCAAACCGTGAAGTAAACTGTAGGAATATTGTTGAGTGCAGCATTAAACAACAAACAAACAAACAAACAAACAAACAGAAAAGTGGGGCACTAGCCCCAGAATAAAAAGGGGGGAACTAACCCGAGACCACTAAGTGGGGTTCTAAAGGAGATCATGGCCTGATGCAGACAGCAGAGGTTAGAGAAATACCTTCAAGACAAGCAGGATCTGGGCAGCATGTCTCATCTAGCCAAACAATGTTGCACCCAGGAAACTGCAATCCTACCATGGACTCTAACTACGTCTGTCTATGTATTCTACATGTTCTAAGCTGATCATTTTTCATAAAAATCTACGTTTGAATAATTTGATTTTGGCACATGGATATTTGTCTAACTACTGCTTCAAATCCTCCAGTGACTTAAAGCACCTCCAACTGATCTACAACCCACAGACGAGTTGTATCAAGGAACAAGATATATGAGACATCTATTATGAATCAAATCTACCGGTAACATGATATCACAGATAAGATTTGGAGATTCAAGTCCTGTTGCTATTCAGCTTCAGTGCAGTGCTCGAAATTAAGGAGGGTTCAGGGTCCTTGAGTTTTTTCCAATGCAATCTCATTAAAATCAGACCTTAGTTCTTGCTCCCGCTAAACAAAGATCTGAAGACATAACGGGTCACGTCAGAACGACCTTTCATTCGACCAATCAGTGCGTCGCTTACCAGATAATGAAAGTGACAGTCGGAACGTGATTTCTAATCATGCAATCTCGAAAACTTTCACATGGGGTATCCCGAACGATAGTTACGAGTTTAACAACTGAATCCTTACAATCTAGACCATCTATTAGCCATTCCAGAATGTTTTTTTGTTCAGGTTTCAAATTTGTAATCGGGAATTTATCAAAATATGTTTCGAAGCGTAGTCGCCAATTTGAAATTTGTGCCGTAAAGCACGAGAAAGCTGCCTTCTGATTGGTCATTCCATTGGTCGGTCAAAGTTGGCACAAGGTCGGTCTGACATGACCCGTAATGGGATGTCCTCAGAGCGGTAGCGAGAACTAAGATCTGATTTTAATGAGATTGTTTCCAATGGAATTTGATTCTAGACGCCCTAAATCTTGACTTGTAAGATTAGGCTCTGGCAAGGACTTTTGACTTACAAGCTTAATTTTGAACACTGATCATAAAACAAGACATATCAAAGATAGAGAACATGTGTTCCATGAGACAACATACATGAACACTGTGGCTTGCTGAAGGGATACGCTATATGTTTATATTTTCATAGACTGCAACACTATGGAAATAGACAAGTTTGGGACACCATCACTGCTGTCCACTTTGTCGCAAACCAGCAGTGGAATAACTCCCCATATACACCCATTAGTTCAGCCAATATGAGAGTGGCAGGTTCTTCAGTACTGTTAGTGGCCACTACACTCAAAATGCATTTAAAAGATAATATCAAATGTTGATGAAATCAAACAAATCTGGTCACATTCATGTCATAAAAATTCATACAGACAAACATACAATCGTACAAACACACAGCCAATCATACAAAGACAACCATACAGACATACAGGCAACATAGAGACATACAGACCAAATCCTCCAGTCATCCGTTCGATGATTTGATCAGGGCTTAAAAATGGTTTCTTTGAAGTTAGATGTATTATAGAACATCATCCAGTTGGATGATACAGGTATGTGTTGCAACCTTGTGATACACTTAGCCCTGTATTTGTCCCAGAACACCGACTCCTGACATGGGCAAATGTCTTCAGGTCAAGTGGATATTGCAAAGCTCTTTGAAACTTCCCAGTTACTGACTCCTAGTGTTAAATGTTTTCAAGACATTGGGGCAGTTGAAACACTAATATTCCAATCAGAGTTCCCAGTGTGGGTACACTCCACAGGGTAGACACTATTGGTCACATCCAACTTGTCCGGAGTTCATTTGGACATGTAGTTTACACAAAATATCTCGATTTTGGTAGAATCCTCTGGACCCTCTGGATTTTCACTAGTCTCGGACTAACAGACAAGAGGTTGTGTCTGACCCTGCTCCTTAAGCCCCATGATGACATTGATATACATGAGCCCTGTAAACTTCTCCACTCATGAACTCCCAATATTGTTGCACTTCACCAGCACTTTGGGAAAGCTGATATACTTGAACCATGTATATAATCCCCTGATAATAAATTCCCAATATTGTCAACCTTCTTCAGCACTATGTAGCCCTAGGGAGCTGATATACCTGTCCAACTCCCAATCATAAGCTCCCTATCTTGTTGTATCTCTTCATCACGCTGGGGAAGCTGTCCCTGTACAGCACGGGGTCTGCCCGGAACTCCACGCTCTTGAGTGGCATGGCCTGGTAGATGCTGGTGAACTGGTTGATGCACTCCGACCTCTCCACCATGTGGGTCAGGTCGGCCGACAACATCTCGTTGTTGACGCACTGCGGACACTTGAACTTCTTCCTGGGCGTCACCTTCATGGGGGCCTTGCCGGTGATGTTGGCGATGAGGAAGTTGATGGCTATGTCCTCGCAGTTCATGTGTTCGTCCACCCACACTTTCATGTTGCCGGGCATGGAGTAGGTGTACAGGTAGCTGAAGTACTGAAGGAGAAGGGGGGTAAGCCATTGATGGGATAACAGCAACTATCAACAATATTCCAGCTATATCGTAGAAATAATATTATTTCTCATTACAGATCCATTATCTTACCGGGCAGTTTCCTTCTTTTTAAAACCAAAGTACATAATGAAACAGTAGTAACAAGCTCCCTTGGGATTTGAGAATAATCAAATGTCATATACTTTGTGCATGCGTATGTAAAGTCATTTTTCATCATCATCATCATCATCATCATCATCATCATGTTTGTTTGTTTGTTTGTTTGTTGTTTAACGCCACATTCTGAAATATTCCAGCTATATGACAGCGGTCTGTAAATAAACGAATCTGGACCAGACAATCTAGTGATTGACATCATGAGCATCGATCTAGGCAATAGGGATACATTGACATGCATCAACCAAGTCAGCAAGCCTGCCAACCCTATCCCGATAGCTGCCTCTTACGACAAGCATAGTCACCTCTTACTGCAAGTATGGGTTGCTGAAGACCTATTCTACCCTGGATCTTCACGGGCATCATCATCATCATCATCATCATCATCATATGTATTATATCTACCTTTCTATTATTATTATTATTATTTTTATTATCGTGTAGTCTATGTACCTTGTGATAGAAGGCAGCTCCAGTGAGCACCATGGAGATGGCGTTGGTCCACTCTGACTCATACTTCCACTTGTGTGTGCTGTTGTCCCACATGTGAAGACGAGATGGGAAGCCCACAAGACGATCCGGAAACTCCCTCCACACCTACAGAACCCTCATGCATGTCAATTCTTCACAAAGAGAAACTTTCCTAACTTAATAAAAGCCACATTCTGTATGTTTGCTTTTTCAGACTATAAACATATAACGTCAACACCAGAGATGTCCAGTCTCAATAATCTGATGAAAATCTGATGAAACTGACGAAAAATGACATGCTTGTAATTTTTCAGATAAAAAAGTGGTAAATTTGAACACTATTTAGTGACTGGTCTATATCAAATCGAGGGGATGACAGATGCACACATCCCACCTCTACCCCCAAATGATAAATAACCAGTCCCTTATTTGCTTTTTTTTAAGTCTTCTATTTCAAAGGCAAGAATCATCCTCAGTCATGTCATTTGACAAATCAATAGACTATTGGTGCTCAGTGGACCTAAATGAAAATTATCAGAAATCAAGCTTGGTCCCCAGGTGAAATCCTACTGACACACCTGATGAAATCCTCCTGCTACTCCGGATGAAATCCTACTGCTACTCCGGATGAAATCCTCCTGCTACTCTGGATGAAATCCTACTGCTACTCCTGATGAAATCCTACTGCTACTCTGGATGAAATCCTCCGGCTACTCCTATTAAAATCCTACTGCTACTCCGGATGAAATCCTCCTGCTACTCCTATTAAAATCCTACTGCTACTCCGGATGAAATCCTCCGGCTACTCCTATTAAAATCCTACTGCTACTCCGGATGAAATCCTCCGGCTACTCCTATTAAAATCCTACTGCTACTCCGGATGAAATCCTCCGGCTACTCCTGATGTAATCCTACTGCTACTCCGGATGAAATCCTACTGCTACTCCTGATGAAATCCTCCTGCTACTCCTATTAAAATCCTTCTGCTACTCCTGATAAAATCCTACTGCTACTCCTGATGAAATCCTACTGCTACTCCTGATGAAATCCTACTGCTACTCCTGATAAAATCCTCCTGCTACTCCTGATGAAATCCTACTGCTACTCCTGATAAGACTGTCATGTGCTTACATAAACAACTCAAAAGAAGTAAAAGAACATCTGATTCTTCCATATTACTACAGATAATCTGTCATGGCCCAACCGGAACTAACAGGTAGAAGGACAGGCCCGCACAACCACTCAACGCTGATTCACTACAGTTATATGAAAGAAATCGGGCGTTATTAAACTTCTTTCGAGTAGTATATAATATTGGGTCCCTAGAAGCAAGGGGGACTAATTCTCTCAACAAAAGGCAAAATTGTCTCCCCTTGACCAAAAACCGCATATCGGCCTGAAACAGGTATGTGAAGTATTAAGACATTACCTCATAGCCGAACTCCAGTTCATCGGCTGTCAACATGACGATGTCATCATCCAAGGCCAGGATACACTCCGTCTCGATCTCATCATAGGGGAAGAACCTGCCACACAGAAAACCTGATGAGTGACCTTAAAGGAGGACTCACCTCATACTAGTTGGCAGTCCCAGCCAATTTGATTCCACTGCCTCTAAACAGCACTTTGTCAGCTTGCTCATATCTCATGATGCATAACAGTTAAAATTTATTGTATTAACACATTATAGTGACTTAAACTTGGAAGAAACTGGGCACATCCCTTTTAAGATTACTTCAGATACAGTATGTCAGGGGAGGTGAAATGGAGTTTAAGGTCGCATTCAAGATTCTTGCCCTTATATAGCGATGTGCATGCATGTGTCTGTGTGTGTGTTCCCCACTGGGATACCATGCCGCAGTTTAACAACAATACCCCACGACCTTCCTCTCACCAGGCAGAGGCACTCTCCACTCAACCGGGGAGGTTGATTGGTTGTTTAACGCCACACTCCGTAATATTCCAGATATATGACAGGGGTCTGTAAATATTCGAGTCTGGACCAGACAATCCAGTGATTAATATCATGAGCATCGATCCACGCAATTGAAATACGATGACATGCATCAACCAAGTCAGCGAGCCTGGCCACCCGATCGCCTTTTATGACAAGCATAGGTTGCTGAAGACATATTCTACCCCGGATCTTTACAAGTCCGACCAGGGAGGTGGTTGACAGTATATCAAGGCATACCAGTGAATGTGGAGGGAAGCTCAAAGTTTTCAATGTCTACTTCTTTGGAGAAACCCATGAGAATGGAGCTGATTCATAATGTTAGTGTTTTGATTGTTTAACCGCACTCAGCAATATCCCGGCTATGGAACTCATGACAAGCACAGATCCAGATCTCCCCAAGTGTGCCCAACTAAACCTGTGTCACTAGCATATCCAACTGTGTGAGAGAGTTGGGTTTAACGCCGCTTTTAACAATATTCCAGTCATATCACGGCGTGTCAGCTTAAAGTGGGAGGAAAGCCCGAAGTGATGCAGGTCTCAGACGTTTACCACTTCGGTGAAACCCATGAGCACTGGTATGGTGCTGACAAACCTAGAAACATAATCAGGGTGAACCGGGATTCGAACCCACAATCATAGGTTTCTGGCGTGCCCAAGGGACGCAACTCTGCACAGCACCCGTGCCCCCCATATCCAACTGGTTCACCAACCTGTTGCTGAGTTTGTTCTTCTTGGTCTGGACAACTTTCACAGGTTTTCCGATATACGGCCATGACGACACTGAAAAAAAAAGAAGTGAGGGGTGTTTTTAATGGTTCCCAAATCCTTGAATTTCAGGTGTGTGTATAAAACTTTGTTCTGACATCATGCTTATGCAACTCCAAATAAAACAAGGAAACATGAATTCAAGACATGGAGTGCAGAGGGCTATGGAAGTAAAGCAATGCTTGAGTCAGTTATTAGTGTATCCATTCTCAGGACAGACTTACTTGCAGGAGGCGCTTTATTCTGGTTGTTCCAGACGACGACGACCTTGGCCAGACTGGGCACCTTGGCGACCTGCTTGATGACCTGGAAGAGTGACTCCAGTCGGTCGTAGGTCAGTATGACAGCCGTGAAGCCCTGGGCCTTGGAGGGGGTGAGGGGGAGGAACAAGGGGTTGTTGACTGCCTCCTGGAAGAGAAAGGGGGGGGCGAGGTCAGCACGGGGCCGGCAGGTAAATACAAGGCTGATTAAGAGACACTATGATATTATGGATAAAAAAGAGATCATTCAAGCCTTTGGTCATTGTCATTTTCTGAGTACGTACAAAATTCCTCCTTCATCTGTCCATATATTGGCTTGACAGGCAGTTTCATGACTTTTTTAACATAGGTAGTAACTGAAATGTCTTATACAGTCCTCTCACAAACACTGCAGGGGGATGGGTGCCCAGTTGTCTAAGGTGTTAAAACTTGCAGTGCAGAGTTGCCTCCCTTTGGCCTCCCGGCAACCTACCATTGTGGATTCAAATCACAGATTCACCCTGATTAAACGTCTAGGTTTGTCAGCACCACACTCATCCCTTTCGTATTAACTGATTAAACTGCCTGTTGCCATAACTGAAATGCCGATCAAAGCGGCATTAAAGTAAACTCAAATTCACGTCAGATAACTGTACTACTGCTAGTATGGCTGTGTTTGTTTGTTTGTTGTTTAACGCCGCGCTCAGCAATATTCCAGCTATATGACGGCGGTGGGGCTGTGATCCTCCTTCACTCACTCACTCACCTTATTGGGGATGTCATTCCATGATTCATAGCTGCGACTGGCATACGGAAAGATGCGGTCATTGATGATCTCCAGGGTTGTCATGGTGATTGCCTTCATGGAGCTGAAGTAGTTGTCCCAGACAAACTTCACCTGGCGTCTCATCTCGTACACGCGGTCGTCACTGTACGCCTTGACAATGTTCAGGAGGCCGCTGATGTCGTCCTCTCGCACTGTGATGCCGATTCTGTGATACATTGATAATGATGCTTTTACATAGGGACATATGACGCATAAACAAAATAGAATAAATGTTTCATACAGTCAAAAGTCCACAAATACCAACAGGCACCATTTCAGTATCTGTTTGCCACATCTCCCTAGTTTTGTTGAAAGATATTGAACAGTTTCTGAGTTGTTCTCCGGAAACGAAATCCACCCCCTTACATCTCCTAGTTTTGTTGAAAAATGTTGAATGGTTTTCGAGTTACACTCCAGAAACGAAATTACAGATGGTTGGACGGATGGACGGACAGTGAGGTGATGACTATATCCCACCACATTATATGCCGGGGGATACTAAATGAATTTGGATTGCAATTACCTGGTCCAGTCGAGCACCTCGGAGAAGGGGAGGATGTAGCCGTCTGCGATGATGATGGGGATGCAGCCCGACCGCAGCGCATCACTAAGAACAGGCTGCCCCAGCCGCGCCCCTCGCAACACCACGCAGAACTTGGCATCCTGCACACAACCGATACGTTGCAATAAATACACATGCCTGTTTCCAAAGTGTTCAAGTGAAAGGGGGTTTTACGCCGCTTTTAGCAATATTCCAGCACTACCATGGTGGGGGACACCAGACATGGGCTTCACACACTGTACTAATTTGGGGAATTGAACCTAGGCCTTGAAGCAGAGAGTGAAAGCATGAACCACTCAGCTACCCTATCTCTCCTTATGTTCAAATGGCTACTTGATTGTGGCACTGTACTTGACATTATCTAAACTCACGTTACCATTGTTATTGATATTGTTACGATATTTCTGGAGTAGATATACAACTGTTTTTGATTGGAATTTCAGTATTGACACTCCTCTTACCCATCTTATCTCACTGTACAATCCAGTTACTCAACTGATGCTTTTTGAAAAAGAACAAAAGTGTTGAGAATAATACTCCTTAAAATACAATTGAAAATGGCATTATGTCAGACATGTTGGAACAATAAAGTAATGTTTCACAGTTCAATTTACATGTTTACATGTAGTTTAATGATGGTGTAAATGTGGTGATCTACTGATGGTGTAGATGTCGCAGTCCACTGACGGTGTAGATGTCGCAGTCCACTGACGGTGTAAATGTCGCAGTCCACTGATGGTGTAAATGTCGTGGTCCACTGACGGTGTAAATGTGGTGATCTACTGATGGTGTAAATGTCATGGTCTACTGATGGTGTAAATGTGGTGATCTACTGATGGTGTAAATGTGGTGATCTACTGATGGTGTAAATGTTGTGGTCCACTGACGGTGTAAATGTGGTGATCTACTGATGGTGTAAATGTCATGGTCTACTGATGGTGTAAATGTTGTGGTCTACTGATGGTGTAAATGTGGTGATCTACTGATGGTGTAAATGTGGTGATCTACTGATGGTGTAAATGTGGTGATCTACTGATGGTGTAAATGTCATGGTCTACTGATGGTGTAAATGTCGTGGTCCACTGATGGTGTAAAATATGGTGATCTACTGATGGTGTAAATGTCATCATCTACTGATGGTGTAAATGTGGTGATCTGCTGATGGTGTAAATGTCGTGGTCTACTGATGGTGTAAATGTCATGGTCTACTGATGGTGTAAATGTCGTGGTCCACTGACAGTGTAAATGTGGTGATCTACTGATGGTGTAAATGTGGTGGTCCACTGACGGTGTTAATGTCGCGGTCGACTGATGGTGTAAATGTCGTGGTCCGCTGACGGTGTAAATGTGGTGATCTACTGACGGTGTAAATGTGGTGATCTACTGATGGTGTAAATGTCATGGTCTACTGATGGTGTAAATGTTGTGGTCTACTGATGGTGTAAATGTGGTGATCTACTGATGGTGTAAATGTGGTGATCTACTGATGGTGTAAATGTGGTGATCTACTGATGGTGTAAATGTCATGGTCTACTGATGGTGTAAATGTCGTGGTCCACTGATGGTGTAAAATATGGTGATCTACTGATGGTGTAAATGTCATCATCTACTGATGGTGTAAATGTGGTGATCTGCTGATGGTGTAAATGTCGTGGTCTACTGATGGTGTAAATGTCATGGTCTACTGATGGTGTAAATGTCGTGGTCCACTGATGGTGTAAAATATGGTGATCTACTGATGGTGTAAATGTCATGGTCTACTGATGGTGTTAATGTCGCGGTCGACTGATGGTGTAAATGTCGTGGTCCGCTGACGGTGTAAATGTGGTGATCTACTGATGGTGTAAATGTGGTGGTCTACTGATGGTGTAAATGTCATGGTCTACTGATGGTGTAAATGTGGTGATCTGCTGATGGTGTAAATGTGGTGATCTACTGATGGTGTAAATGTCATGGTCTACTGATGGTGTAAATGTGGTGATCTGCTGATGGTGTAAATGTGGTGATCTACTGATGGTGTAAATGTGGTGATCTACCGATGGTGTAAATGTCGTGGTCTACTGATGTTGTAAATGTGGTGATCTACTGATGGTGTAGATGACATGGTCTACCGATCGTGTTAATGTCGTGGTCCGCTGACGGTGTAAATGTGGTGATCTACTGATGGTGTAAATGTGGTGGTCTACCGATGGTGTAAATGTCGTGGTCTACTGATGATGTAAATGTGGTGATCTGCTGATGGTGTAAATGTCATGGTCTACCGATGATGTTAATGTCGTGGTCTACTGCTGATGTAAATGTCGTGGTCTACTGATGGTGTAAATGTCATGGTCTTCCGATGATGTTAATGTCGTGGTCTACTGATGATGTAAATGTGGTGATCTGCTGATGATGTTAATGTCGTGGTCTACTGATGATGTAAATGTGGTAGGTGGTTGCATGCAGCCTACTGTTCCACCTGAAGCACTTGAGGATAGTCGTAGTTGGCGTTGCTGGTGCAGCGTTGTGTGACATTCCACGTGTGATTGTCGTCCCCACAGCGGTCTAGGACCAACACCCGGTTGTCCTCCAACACAAGTTTGTCCAGGACGTCCCGGTATTCAGTGTGGAGGCCACTCTGAGACGACACAATCAGCCACTGTCTCTCCTCTCTGGAAACATATCACAAGACAATTGACGCTGCATACCATAACTTGGCCAACTAAATATGTTGGTTTTTCTGCTATATAATCATGATAATGCCCCACTCATCAATATTCCATCTAACAGTCGCCTGTAAGTAATTCAGTTAGGACCAAACCAGTGATTGATATTATGAGCAACTTTTTACGGTGTCAGGGTACAATGACACAATCATCACAAATCACGAAATCAGACCACCTGATTTGGTTGGTTGGTTTGTTGTTTAACGCCACACTCAGCAATATTCCAGCTATATGATGGCAGTCCGTAAATAATCAAATCTGGACCAGACAATCCTCTGATTGATATTATGAGCATCGATCAACGCAATTGGGATCTACAAAGTCGCCTCATATAACAGCATAGGTTACAGGAGATCAATTCTATCCCTGAACCTTGACAGGGGGATGAGTGTAGCAAAAGGTTTTTATATCTGCATTAAAATATTCCCAACCCATGAAGATCCGGGGCATTGGGTGGTCAGGCTCGCTGTTGCATGTCACTGTCATTTTTTAGATGGCTGCTCATGATGTCGATCACTGGTTTGTCGGGTCCAGGTTTGATTATTTACAAACCACTGTCACCAGCTGGAATATTGCTGAGTGTGGCTTTAAACAACAAACAAAACGAAAACAAACAAGTACTCACAAGTAAGATTTTTGGGGGAGGTCTATGTGTGAGATGAGGGGATTGTACACAGGGAGGGAGATGTCGAAGGTCCTCCTGTAGGACCAGGTGGAGAAGCCACTTCCTGCCAGGATGCCCCGCCCAGTAGCCAGCTCCAGCACTGTGTGGTAGTCCGGGGAACTGCCCGCCAGCATGTTGAACAGAAGATGGTTGGCGCCACCCTGCCAGCTAAACAAAGAAGAGGCATTATAAATAGTGAGTAAGCTGGGTTTAACGCAGCTTTGAACAGTGAATGAGTGAGTGAGTTTGGTTTAATGCCGCTTTTAACAGTATTCCAGTGTCAGCTCAATGTGAGAGGAAAGCGTATCAGCTCAATGTGGGAGGAAAGCCCGATGTGATGCAGGTCTCAGACGTTTACCACTTCGGTGAAACCCACGAGCACAGGTATGGTGCTGACAAACCTAGAAACATAATCGGGGCGATCTGGGATTCGAATCCACAATCATAGGTTTCTGGCGTGCCCAAGGGACGCAACTCTGCACGGCGAATCATGACGCCTCACACGACTGGGCCACCCGTGTCCCCCAGCTTTGAACAGATGTCCAGTTATATAATGACATGTCAGATTTCAAGTAATGCAGGTCTCAGACATGTACCACTTTATTGAAACCAACGAATCGGGGTATGGTGCTGACAAACCTGGTAACATAATTGGGCCGAACTGGACTTCAAACCAATGATCAGGTTTCTGGAATGCCCAAGGGACACAACTTGTGGCACCTTAGATAACTGGGACACCACATGCCCCTGGCATTATTTATACTTCACATCTGCACATAGCTCAGGAGTGAGTGAGTGAGTTGGGTTTAACGCCGCTTCTAACAGTATTCCAGTTATATCACGGCGTGTCAGCTTAATGTGGAAGGAAAGCCCGAAGTGATGCAGGTCTAAGACGTTTACCACTTCGGTGAAACCCACGAGCACGGGTATGGTGCTGACAAACCTAGAAACATAATTGGGGCGAACAGGGATTCGAACCCACAATCATAGGTTTCTGGCGTGCCCAAGGGACGCAACTCTGCACAGCGAATCGCGAAGAGCAAAGAGCGAGTATGCTTTTACGTCGCTTTAAGCAATATTCCAGCAATATCACGGTGGGGGACACAGGAATGGGCTTCACACACTGTACACGTGCAGGGAATCGAGCTCGGATCTCGGTTGAATTGAACCAAGGTCTTTTAACCACTAAGCTACCCCACTGCCCCTCAAGCCGATACAACACGAAAGGACAAAAACATTTCAAATTTTACTCACTGCGACAAAGACGCCAGAACTCGGTTTACATCCCCTAATCGTAGACTGTTCTGATTGAGGAGATCAATGGAAGGGATGAATAAACATGCTGTTTCAGGGTCATCGGTATAGTACGGACTATCTGCAACAGCTTGTAATATTTCCTCAAATTCTTTAGACCTTGGCACCGTCAACTCCTTACCATTTTCATCTTCATATCTTTTAATAGGGTATATGTACACCGTAATTTTATTGTCATCGTTATACCCACAATGATAAACTTCCAAACAAGTATGAAATGTACAAGATGTTTCTCTGTCTGTGATTTTGATTTTATTTGAGGATGCCATCTGAACCACCTCATTAGTCTCTAGGTTCCGAGGTATTCTGTTTAGAGATCTGTCCTTAGAACTAGAGGGTGGCCACAGGAACATAAATGTCACCAAGAACAGTGCAAACAGAACACATGAACACAGCAAGAACTTGTGGCTGAAGAGAAACTGAAGTTTGGGGCGCCTTCGGTTCCACATGTTGGTGGTGGATGTCTCAGTTTCTAAATCTGTTGTCTGAAATAAAAAGAGATTCATGAACCTACTATGTTAAAACTTAAATGTTGTACCAATTAACCCCTAGAAGCCATGAAATGCAACCCGTGGCAGAAGTCGTTGATGTCTTTGTATTACAATTCTATCAATGTTGAAAAACGCATAAATTACAAGATTTCAGTTATTCAGTATCAAGTTTAATAATTACTAGCATTGATAATACGGTTGGACTAGACTAGCAGTCATTGATCAAGAAGTTTGTGGGGTACATGGATGATGTTGTTTTAAACATGTTGACCTAGAAATGTCGCCTGTTACCATGGTTACATTGAGACAAACAAAGCAATTGCAATTGAAGCCCAAATCTACAATCTGCTCAAAACCTGTTTCGTTCTCTCTTTAAAGATGAACATAATACAATCCACACACTTAGTCCACAGAAGATGCAGCTAAATGAGGCTGGAAGTCTGAAGAGTTTCTGGTGCACGGATATTGGCTTGATTGGTATTATCACTATTATCATGATTATGTTCTTGTACAGATTGAATGGAACTAAATTTTGATAAAAATGTCAAGTGCTACTGATGAATCTTGTGCAATTTGACATCTGTTGCACATACAGACGAACACCATTGTGACGAAATTTGATGCGTCAAACATACGGTTGTCTCGAAGTAAATACTTTCGCCCTGCATATTCCTTCTTTAGTCATTATTTTGGTTGTGTCTAAGTTACAAATCTCACATACTTGCAGTATTTACGTAGTTCCCTTCAATTTCGACACAACAGTGTTTGATTGTATACTCTTAGACGAGGCCTATCATTCACGGAAACAGGGCTGTCATTGATGTGTCCTTGCAAAATAATTATATTATCATGATTTATAGAAAATAACTATTGTGGATAAAATGCACAGAAGTTGGCTTCAATTTACTTAATATGTAGGTGTGTTATCATATTTGTATTCATAGATCTATTTAACTTTCTGTATCGATAAACATTTTACCAAATATAATTAGACATCGATCAGTAGCAGCAAAATCAGACTCTGTAATCTGAATGATCTGTTTGACAAAAGTTGCATTTCAAAATGTATTTCATATTAATGCCCAAACTGATGCATTTGAATATGTTTCTTTTAACTAGTGTGCATTTTATCAAGTTTAATTTCAACATGTCAAAATTATTATAACACAATTTGTTTGACAATCGAATTGAAGCCTATTTCAATACTGCTTTTAAACTGACACAAAATTGACATAAAATTGCAACAAATTGCTGTCCACATATATATGGGTGTACCTGACACTTGTTCTCTTATATGTAAATTCCGAAAATATTAAAAGATCGCAGCTGTCGTACATGTATTAGTTACAATTACAATATTATCGGAAATGCAAAAGGAAATGGAACCGACAGTGAGCAATTTGACCTTAACGAGCTGAACCAAAGCTCAGTTAACTCCAAATACGGACCAACTACGTAGCTATCACGTGTAACAAAAGCGGATTATTGGATTGGATTATTAATCCAAACTGGGGGTCAACTGATCCAATATTCAGCACTGCCTTCCAGCAACAATATTTTGGTAAATTCTGCCAATGTGGCACTGAACGTGAGACTAGCTTCTCACATTTGTACGTTCTGTCAAACGTCAACATTTTCCAACAGCCTAAAGGAGCAAACCTAAGAGCATAAATTATCCATAAACATACCTTTGTAATGCAGAAACGAATGGTTAATCACTAAATTACATGATTGAATAGCAGGTCTTTACGGAATTTCCTCTGTTTATGTCAAAATCGTCTCAGAACTGACCATTTCCGTATTTCCGGTTCCCGTAGCAGGTGCGCGGTGAATGACCACCGCTCGACCAATCAGATCACTGCTTACTACATATTACGCGAATCCAACTTCATCAGCTTCGGCTGTCAACATCGCTCGAAGCAGGCGAAAAAACGGTGTTCGCATTTGGATATGTACTGTGCAATGGGTTGAGCCACCTAGACAACATTCGTTACAGGGAAAATACCAAGAAAAATGGAGAAATTTTGATACACAAATTACCTGGCGCGTTGTATGTTGCAAAATGCCAGGCATTGTAGTGTTTCGCAGACGATGGTCCGTCGGCTCAGACGATTTGGTGGTGCCAGCCGTTTTTCTACTGGTTTTGCACGCAGCATGGTAAGAACACTGTCTCATTAATATAGATCAATTATTTCAATCAATTCACTGAACTCTGAACACTATTCTTGTCACAGGTGTTTCAGGGGCTACAGCTATAATAATAGATAATCATATTCATTATAAACAACATTTTTCTGAACCATAGAAAATTAGTAAATTGCGGTATTAGCAATTCGTTTCAATAGCGTGTGTATCTCTGAAATGGGAAATTTATTTTTATTTTTTTTACAACAGACTGCTCGAATTTTTGTTATATTTTATAACAGGTAAGAAATTAAACCTATATTAAAAATACATGGAAGCTATACTTTGTGTTTATTCATTCAAGTTTTGCAAACAATTATTTAAAATAATATTAAAAAAGTGTACAGAAGTACAGTTTTAAATACCATCTACTAACAAATGTAAAAAATGTTTAGTGTTTAATCTTATTATTTGGCGATATTTATCTAAATTTACATTCATATATGTTTGTCTGTAATAGCACTTAACCAATCTCATTAAAACAACAGCTTAATTACTGTGGTTCACTGATCATGCTGCTTTGAATTTGTCAGTTGGATGTATAATTGATGTGAGGTTGTTGACTCATGGTGTTTTTTATGTTTTGTTGTGTGTTTATGGCGAACTAAACCTTGAAATATTTATGTCACTGATATGCTCAGCTGTATCAATACATTTATGCCTATGAACTAAGCACATGATACATATGGGATAATTATTAGCGTGATTTATATCATACTGATGTAAATAATGTTGAACAATATTAGATGATATTAATTCTCAATATTTGTGATATAAATGTGTTGTAAATCTCTAAGAAATTTACATATTTTTGTTTACTTTGTAATATGTGTGTTATCTCATAATAACATTGTTTTATGAAATGCCAGTTTCTGAAATGTCACTTAAAGCTTGTTAGTTCATTGTGATGTTCACAGGGATATGACCCTATTAAAATAGCTTCTACGTGTAGCATGTAATGTGAGTATTTCTACTTTATGAGAACTGAACCACTTGGGATGGAACCCCACAACATTGTCATGTTTCTAGAACATTGACTTTAAATGCACCTTTCACATTAATTTAAATGATTTTGAAAAGTGTTTGTCATTATGTCTTAAAAATGGCATGATTATTTTCCTAATTGTATTCCTGGCAGTTATTGCTGAACAACATTGTTTGTTTAATTGAATAAGGACATAGTGTGTGCAAGTGGATTACTACGGATCATGAATATTTCAGATAGAAATGTCCAATCGGAAGTAGAACACCCTTGTTAAGGAAAAAGAACTGCTTGTGACGAGATCTATATCAGTTCCTTGTCTGATCACGCTCTTGTATTTGTATACCTCCAGGGATTTCTGCTTCTTACACATCCATTATAATAGCTTCTGGTCCATTTCAAAAGAAGGGAATTAGAATTCATCAATAGGGTGGTATATGTGGTGTGCGTTTTCACTATGAGTTGATTAAGCTTACTGTTCGTCATTATGGGAATTCATTGCATGTACTACAAGCCCAGCTAACATAAAACAGAAAAAAACTATTGTGAAGGAAACCCTGCTATATCTGATCTCCCAAGGGTATCAGATGCACCGTTGAGGAAGTGTTGAATTTATTAGTTATGTGCTGCGTGGATAAGCTCCATTTGACACTCAGCAATGTGTGACAAGAGGGAAATGATATATTCCACTGAATAATAAATAACAAACGAATGAAAATTGTATGATTTTCCTATCAAGGATGACAGGAATACTGCATGCTTTCTAATATTGTTAATTGATTATGATCATGTTTTTGTGATAATCGTGATGATGTCACAAGTCAAACACGTAGAACGGGCACTAGAGTAATAGTACTGAGAGGAAAATAGTTGTCATCATCAGTTACTAAAATAGCTCTATCCAAATCACCACATTAATAAATATATTTCAGACACCCTTTCAGCATATATCATGATGTAGATATATTTATAATAATATCTGAAAATTGCATATTTCTTCAATGGAAGAAAGAAGTCTTCATTTCATATCAATGCTTCTTCCTTGGATTGATGAATATGTACATAAAACAAACTGATCAATATCCGTCCGTTTCATAAGTGGCGCTGAGTCACAACTTTGGGTAATGTCTATGAATACAGTTAGAAAGATGCACAACAATGTCATGGTTACATGATTACGTTAGGTGCATCTTCCTGAGTCAATGGAGTTAACTGACTATAAAAGTCCAGTTTCAACCCTTGCTGAACTTGGCTTGAATTTCTGGGATCGATTGTAGCCCCACCAGTGGCTATTAAGAGTGATGTCCCTTCTATGTCCCCCCTGTGACCAGCCAGATTCCACCTCTCATATCACTCATATCACTTGCATTTCCTTCAAGCAAAATGGCAGTGCCCAGCCACTCACTCACTCACCCACTCTCTCCAATATATTTGTCTCCTGAGTTGCATGAGATCTCACACATTTGTGTTTTATTGTAATTCTAACTTCTGGCTTCAAATAACAGCTGTGGGCCATCTGGTTAATAACCGTATATGAAATATGTGGAGCCAGATCTATATGCTGATTACACTATCAAATGGCACTCAATACTCCCTCAATACCATGTAATAAGTAGTACTGATCAATTTTTTGGAATTTCAAAAACACCGAGATTTATATGTTGTATTGAGAAATAGGATTTGAGAACTCCACATGTGTCATGATTGATGCAGAATGAGTGGTTGTATTATTCTGCCATTAGTTTCTATGGTCAACAGCTGGTGACTGCAGATGATGGTTTCAGTATTGGTGTACATGATTGTGCAGCCACCTTTCATCTCAGGTACGATCATTTTTTTAACTGGGCAACCTTAGAAATTCACTTTTTAAAGACCTTATTTCCCTTGACCTCAGACTTTGTACAGCTGTATTCCTGCTTGGCGAAGTCATCTTCCCGAGGCAAGGGAGTTGACTGACTATAAAAGTCCAGTTTCCACCCTTGCCAAACTATGCTCGAATTATGGAATTATACTGGCTGGACTAATGGGTCTATGCTGCTATGCATAGTCCAATCGAAGTCGAGTAACAAAAACTGACATGCAGATTTACAATATGGTGCTCACATGATTTCTGCACTTCGCGAACGAAGACCTGTTTGTTATAATATAGATTTTGATTATAGATCAAATCTTCTTCACTTTATTTGAAACAAATGCAAGTGGTATGAGAGGTTTGAATCTTATTGGTCAGTCGGAGGGACATGGAAGGGACACAAATCGTAATAGCCACTGGTGGTGCTACGATCAAGCCATGAAATTCCAGCCTAGTTCGGCAAGGGTGGAAACTGGACTTTTACAGTCAGTTAACTCCCTTGCCTCAGGAAGATGCAATAAGGCAAAACTGTTTACTATGTGGACAGTTTCTGTCAGTTTTATTGGGTTCCAATTTGTATCAAAATTGAAGCCTTAAGAACTGGTTCTCAATTACAGCACTCCATTGCTACCAGAGACCGCCTCCGTGGTCTAGTGGTAGAGTGTCCGCCCGGAGAGCGGAAGGTCCAGGGTTCGATCCCCGGCTGCGTCATACCAAAAGACGTTAAAAGATGGTACTTGTTGTTACCCTGTCTGGCGCTTGGCTTTAAGGGGCTAAAACAAGGACTGGTCGGCTCGGAGCCAGTATACTGTTTCTGAGTGGGATATTCATTTTAAACTGCGGCATGGTATCTCAGTGAGCTAGCACTATAAATTGGCATCAGTCCGGACTAGTACAAGCAGCCACACGCACACACACACGTGCATGCACGTCGCTATATAAGTGCAATAATCTTGGACGCGACGTTAAACCATATTTCACCTCACCTCACCATTGCTACCAGTCTTTTAGAACAACCATCATCATGATCACTGGATTCTTACTTGTCCTCAGCACAATTTAGTAGTCTCTTACTAAATGACCCACGTGTATTTTGAAGGCTGTCATGATCATATCCTGTAAGTCCACCTTCGAAGCTTTCAAAATACATATGGTCAAATCATCAAATCACATTTTTGAGAGTCCTTTAAGAATGTCTTGGCAGTTTTCATCTATATCATTGTCAAAGCCTTGATTCACACTTGAGGAAGTCTTGTTAGTGCATCTTGGCAGTTTTTTTCAATACGTGTAGCCAAAGCCTTGATTCACACTTAAGGAAGTACTGTAAGACCCTTTCCATCCACCATATGTAATACATTTCTCTATTGAGCTTTTGTAAGCTCAATGGACTGGACTGTTAGCAGCGTGGCTACACTCAGACAAGTGGTTGGAGGTGAGGACTGTTACTGCTGTTTACGAGAGTTGCAGGTCTATTCAATTAATCAAAAACTGGAAAAACAGTTTAAGTTTGAACCATGCAAGCACCAGCATGTCACCTAAGTCTTGAATTGTTAACTTGTAGTAATCACCAGTCTTGATGGACCCCCAGACTGGAATTTCCCCTGGTCTAGGTGTGCAGCTGTGACTGGGATTAAGGCTAGTACCCTCATCTCTCTAGCCGCTAGCCTTGCTCCAAGGCTGAACTGAATGATAAGTCCATAGGTGTATAGTAATTCTAGCCTTATAATAGTGAATGAGTGAGTATGGTTTTACACCGCTTTTAGCAATATTCCAGCAATATCACGGCGGGGGACACCAGAAATGGGCTTCACACATTGTACCCATGTCGGGAATCGAACCCGGGTCTTCGGCGTGATGAGCGAACGCTTTAACCACTAGGCTACCGGCCTGCCCTGCCTTATAATAGGCAAGTCTAGGTATGTGGACAGTATGCCAATCTCTTCTAGGAACAACTTGTTCTTGTTATTTATATGATCAAGAAATTATGATTTGAACTAATAATTATTGGCTTAGAGACTTGTGCAAGTCTGTCTAGCAGCCTTCATTGTCTCCTGCAGCAGTAACACCAGCAGTGATCTGCAAGGTCAGGGGAAGCTATAGTCTGTCACACAGACTCTTAAACAAGATATCCAATACAGC